CTTAATTTTTTAGATAAGTCAGTTTAGGTCAATATTGTGCATTTTGGACGTTATTAATTTGCAATTTGTCTAACGCTAATGTGCACTGATTCTATCGCTACTGTGCAGTCCGAACCGATTGAACTTTTATCCCATACCAAATTATATCGAGCCAAATTAATTAGTTCATTCGGTCGGGTAACCGAATCACTTTAAATCAATCAAATAGTTTTTTTTTTTTTTTTATTAAACATATATTTACCATTTTTTTAAATATTTTTTATACTATTTTGTGGTTGCAAAAACATAATATTTGAAATACCAAAATTTATAGTGTGCATCCCACCAAACGCAAATGTGCATTTATCCTATTATTATTGTGCAGTCTATTTGAGCGATGCATTTGTGCGTGCACTTCAATTTTAGAAAGAATTTTTTGGATGCGCATTTAAATTAAAAAGAAAAATCTGCATTTATAAAATTATATAATTAAATACATAGTATTTATAATTTTTTATTTAAATTTATATTATTGGCGATTTAACACATATATATATATAGATAAAATAAAAATAATATGTTTTATATAGTTTGATCATTATTTTGTGGGCAACTTCTCCTAAAATCCCTATTTCCTTTTTTATTTTCCTCCTCAGTCCCCATGCCTTTATTTCTTTCTTTCAACTCCCTAATTCCATAATTTTCTTCCTCCCAACTCCCTAATGTTAAAATTAATTGAAAAATGAAATGATTTATTACATCATTCCACTAACATATTATTTTATTGTTTTCTCTTTCACCAATCATTACACATATTAGTATTTTATTCATTTTTGTTCAATCTTCTTCCACACTCTATCTACCTCGCTCTCGTCTCTCTCCCTTCTCCCTCCATTTCCGGCAACTGCTTCGTTTTTTTTTTTCCAGGTCGATCTCTCCGGCGACCTAAATTCGGGGAGAAGAACTCCGACAACAACAAATCCAGCCAAACAAGTGATTCCGACGTCAAATTTGTGGGGCCAAAAATTCATTTTTTCCGGCAACATTCGTGCTTTTTCCTGCCAAAATTTGAAGTAGCAAGTAATATATGTATTATATGGGCTTTTTGGAGTCCAAAAATCATGTTTAATTCGTATATATTTGGTTAATTTGTTAGGGATTGAATTTTGAAAATTGTTGTTCATGTTAACCCTAAATCAATTAAATTGATCAAAATATCTTATTTTTTGTTTATGTATACGAAATTGATGATATTGTCAAGTTATGTAATATGTTATTCACGCTACATCAAGAAAACAAGGTGGGAATGATCACTGTACCACTATTCTTGATTATTGTACCTCTGTTTGCATGTATATAGTACCACTTTAATATTGTTGTGTACCATATTTTCCTGGGAAATGTGAAGTTCTTTTTTATTTATCCAAATATTGTTAGATACATGGAAGGGGCACAAAGCGATATACTAGGGAGTTGTACGTACAAAAATGAATTGTTTATGTCTCCATGCACATTGGAGTCCAAAAATCATGTTTAGTTCGTATATATTTGGTTAAATTGTTAGGGATTAAATTTTGAAAATTGTTTTTCATATTAAACCTAAATCAATTAAATTGATCAAAGTCTCTAATTTCTTGTTTATGTATACGAAATTGATGTTATTGTTAAGTTATATAATGTCTTATTCACCCTAAAACAAGAAAATAAGGTGGGAATGATCACTGTACCACTATTCTTGATTATTGTACATCTGTTTGCATATATATAGTACCACTTTAATACTGTTTTGTACCACATTTTCCTGGGAAATGTGAAGTTTTTTTTTTTTATTTATCCAAATATTGTTAGATACATGGAAGGAGCACAAAGTGATATACTAGGGAGTTGTACGTACAAGAATGAATTGTTTATGTTCTTGTTGATAAA